GTGTGTGTGTGTGTGTGTGTGTGTGTGTGTGTGCGCGTTCAGCTCCACCAGATTCTGAAAAACCAAAAACAAAAAATGAAAAGGTGAGATGGCAGCATGTTACACATTATCAATGCCAGTGTGGAGAATTTTTCACAGCAAAATACTTACACTCAAATTCAGCTACATATATCAGCTGGTGAATTTTCAGCTTCGTAGCAGCGTTTTTTTGAATGGACATCCTTTTTAGGGCGGGGAGCAGGCTGTCCAAGAAGGCCTGGTCTGGGTCTTTCTCCTGTGTCGGTGGTTGATTGGCAGATTCGATTGCAGTCGCAATCATTTACTCAAACGCTGAGGGGCTTGCAGAAACAACCCGCCGCCTACGCCTGCGCTCACCTGACAGGTCTGGTGTGCCCCCTGTTTCGTGTGGGCGCACGCTCTCCTGTGTGTGATCTGTGACTCTCTCTCTTTCCTGGTTCTCTCTCTCTTTCCTGGTTCTCTCCCTCTCTCTCCTGATTCTCTCCCTCTCTCTCCTGATTCTCTCCCTCTCTCTCCTGTGAGACCTCTCCCTCCTGGGTCTCTCCCTCTCCCTCCTGGGTCTCTCTCTCTCGCTCCTGGGTCTCTCCCTCTCGCTCCTGGGTCTCTCCCTCTGTCTCAGTGAGGTTGGAGGTTGTCCTCCGTGGTGTGATGAACGGCAGGAGGAAGGACATAATCTGGGCATAACGCCAGGGCCTCTTTTGAGAGGCAGCAGCCCCGCTTACCCGCCTGGACTGGTCCTCCCTCCTATAGGCTATGTGCACAAGCGTAATTTCGAACTTCCGCTATTGTCAGAAGTCGGCATGTCAGTTTCCGGTTTACGGCTGTTCATCCGCAACCGCTATAAACGAACAAGATGAGTGCTGCTGTTGTACGGAAAAAAGAGTTGTTAAACACATCTAAGTTTCTAAGAACTGTAGGTGGATCCATCATCTAACGCCCGTTTCACACATACCCCGTTTGCAGTGCGTGTTGCGGTGCAGGAGCAACGCGCGCTATAGTACTTTCACATATGATGCGTTTGCAGTGAATAACTGATCCGCGGCTGAATGTAATCTGACTTTTTGAGTTTTATTCAAATTAACCTTTGGTCATCCAGTATCATGCATTTAGATCATGATAACCACAGATAAAACCATGCATACACTGTTAAAAATTGCTGTAAAAATACAGCCAATTTCCAACAGTAAAATACTGTTATTTCAATAAACAGTTTTATCCTGTAAATTTACAGTCTATGTTCCATAAATTAATTGCTTGCTGTAAATTTACAGCATTTATGTGTAAACCAATTTGTTCCTGGAAAAAACAGTCTTGGATTGTAAAAAATAGCACGTGTGGGCGGGGCATCTTCAACGCGGTCTCTTTTCGAACAGAAAGCAGTCAAAGAACAAAATGGTTTCGCAACACTCCTGCTGTCTTAAAGAAGGCCACTGTTCAAGGTAAGTTGATTTCTTTGCTGTTATTCTATTATGTTGCTCCAGAGTACCTGTAAAATCGCCTTTTTCATGAGGTATTTTTTTTAACTGCTTACTGAGCGCGAATCGCGTTTTGAAGACAGAGCTCGACGGTTGAGACATTTCGCCTAGCTGCTAATGAATGCTCTCTGAGCTCCGATTACTAACGTAAATCTATGCGATTATTACTGCGAATTCTTTGCTTGGCTAAAGTTGTTACCATTTAGAAATTAGTTGGGCTTTCTTTTGTAGTAGCCTAACGATTTATATGAATTTGTGATTCAGTAACGTTACACGGTGCGAATCTTACCAGATGCATCAATTCGCATAATATCATGCACATAAGATGGAGAATAATTACAAAACAACTCGAAATATCCAGATCCAATGTTGTAATTAAAATGTAGTGGTCAATTTGTTTAGTTTCCATGCAAATAATATTAAAATTCCCAAAGCAAATTAGATATTTTTTTTTTTTTTCGATTTAGTGATGCAAGTACCTGCGTTTTTGTGAGATTCACATGTAAGTTAGGCCTAACGTTATAGTATTAAGTCAAAGAGGTTGTGTTTGAAAGACGAGGCAGAGACGGATATTCTTTGCGGCGCGAAACACGTTTTTGCAGACAGACAGTTATCAACAGCTGAGGCATTTCACTATTCAATGTTCTCCGCACTCTGACGTCGATTTTCTTTGCTTGGTTAAAGATTTTGAAATAATTATTTTCTTCTTTTTTCCTAGGAATCCTTCACTTGATGTAACAGTGACTTGAGACAGTTTGCCCTAATCTTTGGTGAGTTTCACGCCATGTATAACTTACTTGCAAACTTTGTGCACAATCATGGAGTAACGTTACCATTTTTGCATTTGATATTCCAGAAGTAACACAGAAGCAAGGATGACCGACACATGAGCTTCACAATTCTCTGTCACGTCACCATGTCCCTGGTGAACACTCTTATGGCAGTAGATCGTAAGTAATGATTTATAGTTCATTTAGTATTTATTTTATTTTTTGTTTTTCTTACACAAAAATAAAATGAGTTAAAACGATTAATATTTTTATCACACACATCTATCGTTTGGCTTCAGATTTAGAAGACATTGATTCATCCACGGTGGTCTTGTGAATTAATGTTACGATCGTGGTGTTGTTTTTTAAGTGACAAAAGAATTAAGATTAGTTAAGTACATTAACATGATCATTTTATGTTTCTTTTAAAAGTGTTTGCAGAGTATGTGATCACTTTTTGCAAAGTATGTGATCACTTTTTGCAATGTGCTTTATTTTAGCACTAAGATTTTCTTGATTTTCTTTACTCTCAGACCTGGATTTCCTCTCAGACCAGATCTGTCAAAAGCTGATGTGGGACGTATTGGCTGTTTTTTGCCTCTTCCTACATTTCTTAACCCATTGGTTCTCGTGATTATGTCCTCTCAGATCTGGACTTCCTCTCAGGCCAGATCATTCAAAAGCAGGTTTAGGATATTTTGGCAGTGTTTTTTTTTTTTTTTTTTTTTTCTATCAAGGATTTTTCATCCATTGGTTCTCAATGTTTTCCTCTCAGACCCAGACTTAATCTCTGGCCTGGTTGCTGATGTGACATTTTGGCTGGTTTTAGTGTTTTGTTTGTTCGGGTTTTTTGGGGGGTTTTTTGCCTCTTTGTAATGTTTCTGTGTTTGCCTACTGGTTCCTCTCATTGAATTTTAAAATGTATTTTCTGTGACTTTTTTTCCTTAAATACTGTTAATGTATTGTTAAAACCTGTTACTTATTTTAAATAAATGGCAAACAATGTACTAATACATAATCTATTTTGTCTTTATTTTTTCCATTGAGTAAAAAGTCTGTTTGGAATGTCTGTATACATTATGCTACATATAGGGATGTTAATAGATATCAGACAATAGAGTAAATAAAAAACAGTATTTATATTCTAACTTTATGCTGCCAGTACTTTGTGAAATTACAGCACAGCCTTAAAATTAAAAACTGTAAAATTATGGTAAAGGGCTGGAACCACAGCTGCCAGTACTTTACTGTAAAATTACAGCATTGTTGAAACCGTAAAATTACGGTAAAGGGCTGGAACCACAGCTGCCAGTACTTTACTGTAAAATTACAGCATTGTTGAAACCGTAAAATTACGGTAAAGGGCTGAAACCCCAGCTGCCAGTACTTTACTGTAAAATTACAGCATTGTTGAAACCGTAAAATTACGGTAAAGGGCTGGAACCACAGCTGCCAGTTCTTTACTGTAAATATACGGGTGAATTTTTTACAGTGTAGCCTATAGCACCTCACTATCATGGCAAAATGTAACTGTATGGTTTCTATGGTATTTGTATGAAAAACAGTAGCCTAACAATACATTAAATACTGTAATTTTATTACATTAGTCCTTTAATACATTGTCTACATTAATAAGATAATAAAATTCAATATGTATATCCCACATTTCATGGTGGAAATAATATAATAGGCTATAACGTTACAGTAAATCCATGGTAAATGAAGGGAATTTGTAGACGGAAAAGTTTTCTGTATCGTTGCGCACAGTGACAGACATCGAACTATTGACATTATACCACTAAAATATCACATTTTTTAGCCGACCTGACATCTCAACGTCCTGAGCGACTTTCCTCCACGCATCAGCCTTCCTATTAATATCTCTGTAGCCCTCATCAGAGAGATCATACAGAATCGTACATTCTGACACGGACAAAATCAACCTTTCTAATCTCTCCGCCATTTTTGTTCTACCCGCTTCCGACGCTTTTCGCGGTGTAGTACGACGTCCGCTGGGGGCGTATTGCGAAATACGGAGCTGATTTCAACTGCCAGTGTGAAGGCGGCGTTACGCTTTCATTGGGCCAATACGCATTGGTGTTTTTTTAATGGTTTAGCCCTCGACTAATAATAATAAAGGCTTTTTTTTTTTTTTACTTTTGTAACCTACTGAGTGCCTGGACTTGGATTTTTTTTCCAATTTTTATAAAGAAAATGTACATTTGGTCTTATCGAGGGAATGCACTGAATGTAGAGTAGATTGTGGTCTGGATGGGGAAAAAAAAACAATTTGTTCTTTACATTTGTACTGTTGTTTATTAATTTGTTTATTTTTAATTATTTGTACAGTACAGCATGACACTCTTTAATTATCTGAGGAGGATCTTGAATGTTGTTTCCTTTTTATGTTTTTATTTAAATGGGAAAATAATAATATTTTAATCTAATATTTATCATCAAAGTTCCAAAACAAAGAATAACTTTGTCATTTCTATGTGGTGAAAGCAAATATAAATACTGATTCTAGAAAAAATTCAATTGAGATCAAGGGTCAGTTCTTTTTAAATTACTGAGAGAGGGATTTAAAGGAAACGCTTGTTGTAAGTTAAGTATTTCATTCATCCTCATTTCACCATCCCAATATCTTCTCTTTCATACAGACACAGATGTTAGATGTTTACCTGAACTCTTGTGTTTGTCACCTCAGTGAATGAGTCTTTTTTTCTTTTTCTCTCAGAACCTACAATTGATCCATGCAATGATTATAACACTCTTGATGAATATTGGAGAGACATAATGCAAAGCTCATATCAGTACTATAGATATGATGACACTCTTGTTGAATGGAGTGGCTGGTATCGGCTGTATCTGAATGGAGAAAGTGCCCAGATGTCTGAGTGGTGTGTGAGTGAGGTGGGATGTGGTGGAGAAACTGCACTGCATCTCAACAGTTCTCACCCAACACTTGAGGATGGAGTGGTGACCCGTGAAGTCGTGGGAACTCCTTGGTGGTATTCCAGTCAGTGTGGCGCCTACAGTTCCTCATCCATCCGAGTCAAAGCCTGTCCAGGAGATTATTACGTCTATGAATTAGTCAAACCCGTCATATCAGCTCCAGGGCCGATGTACTGTGCAGGTACAATATTCAATCTTATCTTTTGGATTTATGTAAGTATAAAGTGTATATGCTCTAACTATTAGATAATTTAAAGGTATAGCGGAGGATCTTTCCGAATTTTAGAGAAGACCCACCCTCTCCAATTTTTTTTAAAAATGCACATGCGCAACACTCTATTTGCTCCCGAGAGGGAACACTTATTAAACGTGTGCACGAGAGAGCATGATAGCTTACATTAACTTTTACGAGCAGTGATTTTAAATGGATTTCTCCAAATAGCATGACAAACTTTACCTGTCTAGTAGAATCTTCGCGACTGCGGCATCAGTGGGAAGCCCAACCTGTGCTTTTAGCGTACGCCAGCGTGTGAAATATTCACCCAAAATCACTCTGGTCTTGTTTCTATATCCTGCGCCCTTTCTCTTCTTATCATACACTTCGTATACATTTTTTCTCTTTCAACCCTCCGCCATTTTCAAAGGAATGGCTGAAACCGTAACTCATCACACATAATACAATTGAAAGTGCGCATGCGCAGAAAGCGAAAACTACATAGGGACGAGCACGTACGACGGCCTTACGTAAACATATCACCAGAATGATTGACACTTAGGTGGACCAATAGTATAGACTACCCACCCGGAAAAAGAAAATCCTCCGCTATACCTTTAACATACATCTTTTGTTTTATGAAATAAGTATGTTTTAACTAGTTAGAATCAGTGGTGTGCAGTTCATTATCCATTCTGTATAGTAGGTTATGTTACAGATCATGATAGCACCTAGATCTCTTATGCTGGGTACACACCAAAAGATTTTTTACATCTTATAAGATTTTCAAAATGTGATAGACCACAAACATGAGGACAAAAAATCCTAGATTTAAGCGTTTTGCTCCTATAGTGTGTGGTGTGCCATGATGTGACAGACAGCACACCACACACGAACAGATTTTCAACCAGACTCGACTGTGAACAAAGGAAATCTCACAAAATCTCGCGAGACTTCAGAATAAGCTTGGCGGACGATATGCAGGAAGAAATTGCGATGATAGTGTTTGGAATGATTTTCACAGAAAAACATTCGTGCTGTTGCCACAAATCAACAAGCTGATCCTCCATCTCTGCTGTCCACATCAATTTAACTTTTTGGCAACGCCATGACTGCGTTTGTTATGCTTCCGTCTTCCATCATCTCGCTTTTTGATTGGATATTCTTTCGTTTCACGTGATAATCTCCAGAGCGTGCGCACGTTTGTCATCGGAGTTCCCCCCACACATCAGGATTTCTGATCGTAAATATTCAACATGTTGAATATTTACGATTCGCGATCGGGGCGGCTCTGACGTTCTTCCGAGCAGGTTCGGACACTCTTAACACACCTCACACCAAGGGAAAATCTGATAAGATAATCTGTAGAACCATCAAGATAATCGGGACATAGCTAAGATTGTCGGAAGGGGGAAAATCGGCCCAAAATCAGCCCGATTATCTTTTGGTGTGTACCCAGCATAAGTTACACAATTCCTCAAATCACACTTTATTCGATTTGTTCACTAATTAATATGTAAACTAAAAATGTATATGAAAACATTGTGAAATTACTCCACAGTATTCTTCTGAGAAAGTTTTTTTCTCAGATTAAAACATATTAGCACAGTTTTTGTCATATGTAGCCCCTCCTCAGGTGTTGCTCTGCCCCGTTCTGCAGGGTTCTGTGGGCTACAGACATGATGACCCACTTTAGCTTGAAAGTACACCACTGGTTCTTCATAACTGTGAAGCATCATAACCATAACCATCATAACTGGTCTTATGGTATATAACTCTTATGCTCTTTAGGATGTAATACATTTTAACAGTACTTTTGCAAACTCCATGACAGTTGCTTTCCAAAGCATCAGCAGTGATCCCTGCTACAACTATGAGTCTCTGGATCGTCCCTGGAGAGCCAACAATGAAAGTGGAGATTTCATTTGTGATAACTTTTTCTCCTGGAATGGCTGGTACCGGCTTTTCTACTATGGAATGGACATCCGGATGTCAGAGACCTGTGTTAGTTCATACACCTGTAACACATACTATAATCTGTGGCTCAATGATCCTCACCCTCAGATAGAGGATGGAGTGGTGATCAGGGAGGTCTGTGGAGGGTCTCATTGGGGAAGCTGCTGTGATTACAAGACAAACCCCATCCGAGTGAAAGCGTGTCCAGACAATTACTATGTCTATGAACTTGTGAATCCACAAATATGGTGTTCAGGATACTGCACAGGTACTGTGATTTTCTCATTTATTTCAGTATTTCAAACCATTTTGTAAATGATTTCTGTCATGACATGAATTTCCTTCTTTTTAGATGTCAGCACTATTTCACAGGCAGTTTCCACTGTGAGTCCAGATATATTCACTGGATCCACCATCAACTTGAGTAAGTTGTAATAATATATATGAACGAATATATGAGTGTTATTAAAAATTATCAGTTTTTTTTTTCCAATTAAGTATATTTGCAATACAGTTTAAATGGTAATCTGTATGCACAAACATTTTCACTATTACACAGTCGCATTGTGTTTGTTTGTTTTGGTCTCATCATCTCTCACTAACAGATTATGACCCGTGTAATAATTACAACACACTTGACAACTACTGGAGAAGCACACTCAATTACTGGTTTATGTATGGATACATATCTGATCATGATGACACTCGTGTAGAATGGGACGGCTGGTATCGACTCTTCATGAATGGCTTGAGTGCTCAGATGCCTGAGTGGTGTATGTCTTACATGTCATGTGGAGGTTTTAGTTCTCTGTGGCTTGATGGCTCTCATCCTCGGCTAGAAGATGGAGTTGTTACTCGTGAAGTTTACGGTTCTTACTATGAACAGTGCAGTCGCTACAGATCCGACCCAATCCAAGTCAAAGCTTGTCCTGGAAATTATTATGTCTACAAATTTACCAGGCCGCCTCTTTCAATCCCAGATCCTGTTTATTGTGCAGGTACATTCATTATTCTTTCTATCTGACATGATTGTCATTAATTGTATTGATTTATATACATATTATTAATTTGAATATATTTAATCTGCAATGCTCTCTCTCTATGTTTCCCTAATAGTGTCTTTCTCCACCCCAAGTGTCGACCCCTGCTACAACTATACCAGTCTGGATGAGCCTTGGAGATCCACAGACAACTATTACTATAATAACTATTACTACTATGGCATGTGTGATTATAATGTGGAGTGGAATGGCTGGTACAGGATGTTCTACAATGGTGAAAATACTCAGATGCCAGAATCATGTGTAAATCAGTACACGTGTGGCACTTATGAACCACTGGTGCTCAACGGCTCTCACCCACAGCTGGAAGATGGAGTGGTCACCCGTCAGGTCTGTGTCTCCACATGGAACGGCTGCTGTACTTACAAATCCCACCCTATAAGAGTCAAAGCCTGTCCAGGAAATTACTATGTTTATGAGTTTGTCAAGCCAATATTTTGTGGAGCTTACTGTGCAGGTGAGCACTTACTCATATGATCTTCAGCCATTTACTTTACTGGATTTTGTTTGAATTTAAATGAAATTATTGTCGTTAACATAAAATGTTCCTAATACCAGATACCTCAAACCAGTCCATCTCATCAACAACAGAGACGATCCCATCCATAGGATCCATTACTCCACCAATCACAACCACTGGTAAAGTATTGACTTACTTCCTTCATAAACTCTCTTGAGCATCTTTGGTAACACTTTATTTTACGACCCGCAAACAACTGCGTAAGTAAACCGAAATTACGGTGTACGTTTCCGTAATTATAGTGTACTTCCGTGTAGGTATAAGGGAACAATATATTACGTTTTGGGTAATAAAGGGGTAACAAACAGATATACAAGCAAATTATTTATAATGTAATTATTTTAAAACTAACAGGTACCCATTCTGTTAATATATTCCAGTCAAAAATTTTAAGTCTGTTGTATATAAAAGTTATCATCACATTTCTGGCAAATTATGTTCTTGTGCAATGTTACAGGGTAATTTTGGCATACTGTATGGGACCTCCCGAATATAAACTGACCATTGTTTTTTTTCTACTTATTAGAAATGAGGTTTTTATAGGTGTTTAAAGTAGAATAATGGCCTATATCTCCAAATGCTGCAGTAAAATGGTTAGATATGAGGTGTGCACACTGTATGGGACGTCCTCTATATAAACTGACCATTGTTTTTTTTCTACTTATTAGAAAATAGGTTTTTATAGGTGTTTAAAGTAGAATAATGACCTATATCTCCAAAATGCTGCAGTAAAATGGTTAGATATGAGATGTCTATACTCTATGGGACGTCCCGTATATAAACTGACCATTGTTTTTTCTACTTATTAGAAATTAGGTTTTTATTGGTGTTTAAAGTAGAATAATGGCATATATCTCCATAATACTGCAGTAAAATGGTTAGATATGAGGTGTGTATACTGTATGGGACGTACCGTATATAAACTGACCATTGTTTTTTTCCTACTCATTAGAAATTAGGTTTTTTATAGGTGTCTAGAATAATGGCCTATATCTCCAAAACGCTGCAGTAAAATTGTTTCAAATGAGGTGTGCACACTGTATATGGGACACTGAATTCAAGAGAAACTGCCATTTTAATACTGTAAAAAAAATGAAAAAAAGAGGCATTTAGAAAGAGTGTATACTCTATTTGATCTGCTTTTTGCAAATAATTATGTTGTAAACCTCTACATAAAACAATTCTTGAGGTGTTACCTCTTAAAAAAACAAGATAGATAGATAGATAGATAGAAAGAAAGAAAGAAAGAAAGAAAGAAAGAAAGAAGAAACAAAGCAAGAAGAAAAAAGAAGACAGAGAGAAAGAAAGAAAGAAAGAAAGAAAGAAAGAAAGAAAGAAAGAAAGAAAGAAAGAAAGAAAGAGAAAGAAGAAAAAGAAAAAAACAGAAATAAGAAAGATAGAAAGAAAGAAAGAATCAATCAATCAATCAATCAAGCTTTATTTCTATAGGACATTTAAAAACAACAAGGTTGACCAAAGTGCTGTACATTTGCAAAAAATGTAGATAGATAAAATACAAATAAAATACAATAAATTTAAATAATTAGAAAAGATATAACACCAGACAATTTCAACATACAGCAAACATCACTCTCTCATGTTGGGTTGAAAGCCAAGGAAAATAAATGAGTTTTTAAACGCGATTTAAAAACCGTAAGGCTGGGGGCTAGTCTGACGTGGAGAGGCAGTTCATTCCACAGTCTCGGTGCAGCTGCTGAAAAGGCACGATCCCCTCTGCTCTTGAGCCGTGTTTTAGGGACAACAAGAAGAAACTGATTCGCAGACCGTAATGACCTTGAGGGAGCATGTGGCTTCAACAGATCAGTGATATAAGCTGGGGCTAGTCCATTAAGGGCTTTAAAAACAAACAACAAAATCTTAAAATCAATTCTAAAATTAACTGGGAGCCAGTGGAGAGAGGCAAGGATAGAGGTGATGTGATCTCGTTTACGAATTCCAGTAAGGAGACGAGCGGCAGCATTTTGAACTAGTTGTAGACGAGAGAGGGATGCCTGGCTGACACCTACATACAGGGCATTACAGTAGTCAAGGCGTGTTGTAATAAAAGCATGTATGACCCTCTCAAGGTCTGTAAAAGATAAAAAGGGCTTAAGCTTAGTAAGAAGCCTAAGCTGAAAAAAGCTAGCCTTCACAACCGAATTGATCTGCTTCTCCATTTTAAAATCGCAGTCCATTTTGACGCCCAGGTTTGTTATAGTAGACTTAACGTAAGGTTGCAAGGTGCCCAGGTCTATTTGTGCGACATCAGAGGTGCCACTGGGTCTAAAAACCATGACCTCCGTTTTACTTTCATTAAAATGCAAAAAATGTAAGGCCATCCAGGCTTTAATATCATTAATACAGTCAATTAATCTTGTTAAGGAGCTACCATCATTTCTTTTAATAGGCAGATAGATTTGCGAGTCATCTGCATAAAGATGGAAGCTAATATTATGTTTTTTGAAGATTGATCCAAGGGGAAGTAAATAAAGTGAAAAAATAATTGGCCCAAGAATAGAACCCTGGGGAACTCCACTTGTGAGGCACAAATAGAGCCACCAAAACTGATTCTAAAATCTCTGTCTGACAAGTATGATCTAAACCATTCTAAGGCAGTACCCTTAATCCCCACGCCATGCTCAAGGCGAGAGATAAGGATGCTGTGGTCAACTGTGTCAAATGCTGCTGTAAGATCCAAAAGCATAAGAATCGCATAGTCTCCAGAATCAGTTGAGATTAAAAGATCATTAGATACTCTTAAAAGTGCAGATTCAGTGCTATGAAATATTTTAAAACCAGATTGGAACACCTCAAGAACACCATGTGTGTCTAAAAAGGTCTGCAACTGTAATAGAACTGTCTTCTCTAGAATCTTTGAGACAAAGGGGAGTTTGGAGATAGGGCGATAGTTTGAGAGTGTTTATGTGTCCAAATTTGTTTTTTTGATGAGTGGATGCACCACTGCTTGTTTGAAATAGGCCGGTACAGAACCTGTAGTAAGGCTGCTATTTATAATTTCTTGGATGCTAGGTCCAATAGTGTCCCACACATCTTTAAAAAGACGAGGTGAGAGAATATCAGTGGGACAGACAGAGGGTTTCAAATGTGAAACAATATTTTTGAGAGTAGAGATGGATACCGACTCAAATTGGGTGAAAGCAGCTGCACACTCTACGGAAATGAAGGGGTCACAAGCAGGACGGGAGATGCTTGCTCTAATTGAAGCCACCTTTTCCACAAAAAAGTGGAGAAGCTTTTCACAGTCCACAGAGGATGCTATATGATAAGTAGATTGCGGAGTATTAAGAACAGAGTTATATGTTTTAAAAAGAACATGAGGTTTGTGGGAATTATTTGAGATCAATTCTGATAGATATTTGGTCTTCTCGGCTTTAACTGTTCTCTGATAATTGTGCAAGCTTTCTCTAAGAATGTCGTAAGACACCTGCAGATTATCCTTTTTCCATTTACGCTCAGCTTTCCTACACCGTTGTCTAGCAACCCGCGTTTGATCATTTATCCAAGGTTCAAATTTGGGTGTCGAACACATAGATTTAAATGGGGCAATAGTGTCAAGAATATTGCAACAGGTTGATGAGAAAGCAGATATTAATTCAGTTGTATTTTGACAAGCAGCGGATCCCATAGCCTCCCTAGCGATATTAAAAGCACCAGAGAATTGCGCAGCAGTGGTGGGTTTGATCATTCTGCAAATACGAGGTGGAGCCTATTGCTTAATGGATCGATATGGAATAGAAATGTCGAATAAAACAGGTGCATGATCAGAGAAGACAGCTTCATACACGTCTACAGTACAAATAGGTACACCGTATGACAGAACAAGGTCTAATGTGTGTCCATGGATCTGCGTCGGACCAGAAACAAACTGCGTAAGATTAAAAACATCGATACGATTTAAAAAGTCTTTTGCCAGCAGATTTGTAGGACAACATACATGAATATTTACGTATATCCCCTACAATTAAAATCCGATCGTATTTCGGCATGATTTCAGACAGGAAATCGTCTCTGGTTACTTACGTAACCTATGTTCTCTGAATAGGGAACGAGACGCTGCGGAAAGCGCAGTGGGATATCCTCTGGATGTGCCGATTGCCTGAAGCCCTATAGAATCACGCCAATCCATTGGCTGATGGCGCTCGCGCAAAGCTGGCTCCGCCCCGACGCTCTTACGTCGTAGCATGATGTACGCGCGCGCGCCATCTTCTCCTCAGATTTCTCTGCCGAAAAGAAAAACTGTCGGCAGCGCGAGGAGCTTGGCAGCGAACGCAGCGTCTCGTTCCCTATTCAGAGAACATAGGTTACGTAAGTAACCAGAGACGTTCTCTTTCATAGGTTCACTCAACGCTGCGGAAAGCGCAGTGGGAACGAAATACCAAACTCGCCAAGCTAAGCGCTGCCATAACCGGTACCAGACCAAATAATAACAACCATGATAGGTTCAAGCAGATAGAACCTGGGAACCTGGAGTCATGTCAAGATCCAAATTATAGAACCTCACAAAGGTGTGCGGAGAGGACCAACCTGCCGCCACACAAATGTCTTCCAAGAGGGCCCCTCTAAAGAGAGCTTGAGAGGAAGCCACACTTCTGGTGGAATGCGCTCTGATGCTAAGAGGTGAAGGCAAACCACGCACCTCATAAGCCAGCAAAATAGCGTCCGTTACCCAGTGGGAAATCCTCTGCTTTGATGCTGCAAGCCCGCGGCGGCCAGCACCAAAACATACCAAGAGCTGGTTTGATTTCCTCCAACCGCTTGAGCGATCTACATACAACTTCAAAGAACGGACCGGGCAGAGCAAGTTAAGTTTCCTTTCTTCCTCAGAGGCAAAAGGAGGAGGGTGGAAAGCATTAAGGTTAACAACCTGAGAGCGGAACGCCGTGGAAAGAACCTTGGGTACATACCCCGACCTCGGCCTCAAGGTAACCCTAACCAGGCCAGGAGCGAAGTCCAAGCATGACTCACTAATAGAGAGAGCCTGCAAATCCCCTATCCGCTTCAGTGAAGATAAAGCTAACAAAAGAGCAACCTTAAGAGTCAGAATCCGCTCAGGAGCTGACTCCAAGGGCTCGAAGGGAGCCTCTGTCAAACCCTCCAG